AGACAGGCCTTCTCGCTATACTTGCTCTAGGGTTGGGGGCCCAAAGTATTCAAAGCAGTCTGTGCCAGCATTAGATCCAGGCAACTAGCATTTTCAGAAGAGGACAGTGATAGCCCATGTGTCCCGCACCTTGTTGGAGGCCAAAGTGAAGAGCGGGCTTCCCTTGCAGCTCTGGTCTGAACACCCCTGGAGGTGGATGCAGGCAGTGGAAGGAACAAAGGGGCACAGATGCCAATAGACCAGTTTTCTGGTGGCTGCTCCTGAAGGTGATCAGCAGGGCAGCTCTCAGGAGAGGAGTCTCTTGAAGTACACTGTAGATGAGCAGGTCAGGCCCAGCAGCTGGTGGAATGCCAACACCTGCAGTAGGCAGGGGGGATGCAGGAAATGGCCAGCAGAAAAGAACTGGATTGAGGTCAGGAGCCAAACAGATCATTGAAGGGAAGTCAGTAGGATTGAAGGTAAGAGGGGTGGTCAGGAGCCCAAGCCAGGGTCAAAGACGGGTGGTCAGTAGAATTGAAGGTAAGAGGGTGGTCAGGAGCCCAAGCCAGGGTCATAGACGGGTGGTCAGTAGGATTGAAGGTAAGAGGGTGGTCAGGAGCCCAAGCCAGGGTCAAAGACGGGTGGTCAGTAGAATTGAAGGTAAGAGGGTGGTCAGGAGCCCAAGCCAGGGTCATAGACGGGTGGTCAGTAGGATTGAAGGTAAGAGGGTGGTCAGGAGCCCAAGCCAGGGTCAAAGACGGGTGGTCAGTAGAATTGAAGGTAAGAGGGTGGTCAGGAGCCAAGCCAGGGTCATAGACGGGTGGTCAGTAGGATTGAAGGTAAGAGGGTGGTCAGGAGCCCAAGCCAGGGTCAAAGACGGGTGGTGGTCAGTAGAATTGAAGGTAAGAGGGTGGTCAGGAGCCCAAGCCAGGGTCATAGACGGGTGGTCAGTAGGATTGAAGGTAAGAGGGTGGTCAGGAGCCCAAGCCAGGGTCAAAGACGGGTGGTCAGTAGAATTGAAGGTAAGAGGGTGGTCAGGAGCCCAAGCCAGGGTCATAGACGGGTGGTCAGTAGGATTGAAGGTAAGAGGGTGGTCAGGAGCCCAAGCCAGGGTCATAGACGGGTGCTCAGTGGGATTGAAGGCAAGAGGGTGGTCAGGAGCCCAAGCCAGGGTCATAGATGGTGTGCTCAGTAGGATTGAAGGTAAGAGGGTGGTCAGGAGCCCAAGCCAGGGTCATAGACGGGTGGTCAGTAGGATTGAAGGTAAGAGGGTGGTCAGGAGCCCAAGCCAGGGTCATAGACGGGTGCTCAGTAGGATTGAAGGCAAGAGGGTGGTCAGGAGCCCAAGCCAGGGTCATAGACGGGTGCTCAGTAGGATTGAAGGCAAGAGGGTGGTCAGGAGCCCAAGCCAGGGTCATAGATGGGTGCTCAGTAGGATTGAAGGTAAGAGGGTGGTCAGGAGCCCGAAGCCAGGGTCATAGACGGGTGGTCAGTAGGTTGAAAATAGAGTGATCAGGAGATAAAGCCAGGGTCATAGATGGGGTGGTCAGCAGGATTGAAGATAACAGAATGGTCAAGGCCATAGATGGGTGATCAGTAGGATAACAAAATGGTCAGGGGCCAAGTTAAGGTCATACACAGGTGGTCAGTAGGACTGAAGAGTACAGAAGGGTCAGGAGCCCAAGACGGGGTCATAGACGTGTGTTCAGTAGGACTGAAGATAACAGAATGGTCAAAGTCATAGATGGGTGATCAGTAGGATCAAAAGTGGTCAGGAGCCGAGCTCATACATGGGGTGTTCAGTAGGATTGAATATAACAGAATGGTCAGGAGTCCAAGTCAGGGTCATACACAGGTGTCATTAAGACGAGAGTGGTCAGGGTCATAGATGGGTGGTCAGTAGGACTGAAGATAACAGAGTGGTCAGGGTCATAGATGGGTGGTCAGTAGGACTGAAGATAACAGAGTGGTCAGGGTCATAGATGGGTGGTCAGGGTCATAGATGGGTGGTCAGTAGGACTGAAGATAACAGAGTGGTCAGGGTCATACACAGTGTCATTAAGACAGAGTGGTCAGGGTCATAGATGGGTGGTCAGTAGGACTGAAGATAACAGAGTGGTCAGGGTCATAGATGGGTGGTCAGTAGGACTGAAGATAACAGAGTGGTCAGGGTCATACACAAGTGTCATTAAGACGAGAGTGGTCAGGGTCATAGATGGGTGGTCAGTAGGACTGAAGATAACAGAGTGGTCAGGGTCATAGATGGGTGGTCAGTAGGACTGAAGATAACAGAGTGGTCAGGGTCATACACAAGTGTCATTAAGACGAGAGTGGTCAGGGTCATAGATGGGTGGTCAGTAGGACTGAAGATAACAGAGTGGTCAGGGTCATAGATGGGTGGTCAGTAGGACTGAAGATAACAGAGTGGTCAGGGTCATACACAAGTGTCATTAAGACGAGAGTGGTCAGCGTCATTGATGGGTGATCAGTAGGATTAAAGATAAAGTGGTCAGGAGTCAAGCCAAGGTCATACACAGGTGGTCAGTAAAAATTATTACAGAACGGTCAGGAGTCCAAGGCAGGGTCATAGACGGGTGGTCGGTATGATTGAAGATAAGAGAGAGTTCAGGGTCATAGATGGGAGGTCAGTAGGACTGAAGATAACAGAGTGGTCAGGATCATAGATGGGAGGTCAGTAGGACTGAAGATAACAGAGTGGTCAGGATCATAGATGGGAGGTCAGTAGGACTGAAGATAACAGAGTGGTCAGGATCATAGATGGGAGGTCAGTAGGACTGAAGATAACAGAGAGGTCAGGGTCATAGATGGGAGGTCAGTAGGACTGAAGATAACAGGGTGGTCAGGATCATAGACCAGAAGGGTTAAAGCTAAAGTGGTCAGGAGCCAAGCGAGGTCATACACAGGTGGTCAATAGGAATGAAGATGAGGTCTCAAGGGAGCGTGCCCACGCAGGACCTGGTAGAAGTGCCTAGCCTGTTTGTTGACATACACGCTCCTCTTTCATGGATGGTGTCCTGACACCAAGTGTTACCCTCATTTGATTTCCTGACCCCGGCCTGGACCCTTCTGCATGGGTCTATTGGCGCCTAAGTATGATGGGAGGTTTGGAGGAGCAAATCCAGGAATCAAACAGAAAGTGATGAGACGTACCAATTGCACTGCCTTGCGCCCCAGGAAGGGATAATTCGGTGCAAATGACTTTTCCATGTACATAATAAGCGATATTCACACACACCAACCCCCAACCAATCAAAATGTATTCCAACAAATAATGGCACCATCCCTCCCACCGACACCAATGAGATGACACCATTCCTTGCAGTCATCAGTAATCAAGAATCTCCTTCCTGTCATTTGTAGGCGGGACAGAGCGGAAAATCTCTGTGCTGTCAATCTCCTTGCAGTCATTGGTGGGCAGGACAGAGCGGGAATCTGTGCAGCCCAGGTCCTAGTCCTTGGTGGTGGGACGGACTGGGAATCTGTGTACCCCAGGTCCTTGGTGGGTGGGACGGACTGGGAATCTGTGTACCCCAGGTCCTTGGTGGGTGGGACGGACTGGGAATCTGTGTAGCCCAGGTCCTTGGTGGGTGGGTGGGACGGACTGGGAATCTGTGTACCCCAGGTCCTTGGTGGGCGGGACGGACTGGGAATCTGTGTACCCCAGGTCCTTGGTGGGTGGGATGGACTGGGAATCTGTGTACCCCAGGTCCTTGGTGGGTGGGATGGACTGGGAATCTGTGTACCCCAGGTCCTTGGTGGGTGGGACGGACTGAGAATCTGTGTACCCCAGGTCCTTGGTGGGTGGGATGTGTACCCCTGGGAATGGTGGGTGGAGTACCCCAGGTCCTTGGTGGGCGGGACGGACTGGGAATCTGTGTCGCCCAGGTCCTTGGTGGGCGGGACGGACTGGGAATCTGTGTCGCCCAGGTCCTAGGTTGGTGGGACGGACTGGGAATCTGTGTACCCCAGGTCCTTGGTGGGCGGGACGGACTGGGAATCTGTATACACCAGGTCCTTGGTGGGGGACGGACTGGGAATCTGTATACACCAGGTCCTTGGTGGGTGGGACGACTGGGAATCTGTGTACCCCAGGTCCTTCTCCGACATTTAAGCTCTGCGTTACATACCGCTGAACTGGATTACTTCCTACTCACCCGACCTCTGCAAAAATCGATCTTTGTAATGGGGCCTCGCTAGGCGATCTCCATGCAGTCTGGGCAGATCTCCACCTCTCCAGGGTTGTCTATCTCCGCATCGAGGCGACTGGACTACAGGTCACAAAAGTGAAGAAAAAAAACCCACAAAAAAAACAAAAAAAAAAAACCCAAAAACAAACAACACAAACAAAAAACCATAAAAAAAAAAAAAAAAAAAACCCACAAAAAAAAAAAAAAACAAACAAAAAAACATAAAAACAAGAAAACCATAAAAACAAGAAAACCACAAAAACAAGAAAACCACAAAAACAAAAAACCACAAAAACAAAACCACAGCGGCGGTGGAATTAATTTAAGTCACACAAGTTTAATACTCGCAGAACATGAAAAAATAAAACCTGAAATGGGACTCGCGGTATTTCCAGGCGGGACACAAAATGGAGTCACAGTAGTCAAGACAAAACAAGAATCATCTTTGCATTGGCACAACCGGCCTGCAGATGGCGCTCCCCGCAGACAGCCGCTCGCTACAGCTGCTCCCCGCAGACCGTCCTCCCCCTAGACAGCCGCTCCCCGCAGACCGCCCTCCCCCTAGACAGCTGCTCCCCGCAGACCGCCCTCCCCCTAGACAGCCGCTCCCCGCAGACCGCCCTCCCCCTAGACAGCCGCTCCCCGCAGACCGCCCTCCCCCTAGACAGCCGCTCCCCGCAGACCGCCCTCCCCTAGACAGCCGCTCCCCGCAGACCGCCCTCCCCCGCATGCTCCACCTCCTCAGGATTGATGTTGCAGAAGACCTAGCCGGGTAATCTACGTAAAAGTTCGTTCCCCTACAGCCGACCGATGTTACAGAAGCCCCTCCATCTCTTTCATGAACGCTTCGTACATATCGTCCTTGGTTTGTATCGCCACCGGAGCCCCGAGCTTGGGTCCGGCTTTGGTCACCGACCCGCGTCACCACTTCCTCCTCGGGTTTCTTCAGGGCCTGGCCGGTCGTCGTGGGTTTGTTCTCCCTGCGAACGCGGAGGGCGGTGGGTACGAAACGCGTAACTTCGGCTTTGGGGTTGGTGATCTGGGGTTTGGCGCTGATGGTCGCGGTGGCCTTCTTCTCGATGGTGGCCCCGCTTTCGTCCGATTTGGGTCTCTGTATCAAGCTGGGGGGCGCACTCAGCACGCCTGGGTTTGCCAGCGGGGTTGGTGGGTAGATGCCCGGGGGGAGCGGTGCCGGGTGGGGGAACCATTGGGGGGTCGCATCATGGGCCGAGGAAGAGGGGGCATTCCTGCGGGAGAAACAGGACAAAAGGACATTAATAACAGTTAAAAATGTTAAAGCTGAAGGCTTGCCTTTAATCCCGATCCCCCCCCCGACACATGTACCAAAGTCCTCCCTTGTGCTGAAACCGGATACTCCATTCCATGTAAACGAGCTACGGTGGCCTCCCTCCCACAGCTATTATCATTTTTGGGCTGGCAACAGTCACTGTACTGCTGTTCCCAAGCATCGTATGAAAGAACATATCCTGAGCATCCCTTTAGACATGCATAATTCCAATTAGCTGTGTAATCTGCTCATCAGTTGCTTGGTTACAAAGCAACTGATCAGCAGATTGCACAGCTACAGCCTGCAGCACCCAGTGGGCAGCGAGGAGGAGCGTGCACGTCTAAATGGAGGCCGTCTTCTTCCGTATAAGGCTCCCTTATGGGGAAGTGCAATTACAAGCACAGGCCAAACCAGTTGCTGAAAAGGCCTGTGTGCTTGTAATCACGCAGGAAGAAGTAACATTCAAGGTCCATTCCGATGCTTGATGAAGGAGGGCGTTTTTTTTGGAGCCCCCAAAAGCGTTGTCTGCTCTCTGGATTGTCCCCAAGTTTCATTGGAAAAAAAATGGTATCTGGACCTTTTAGCAGCGGTGTGGCACTCTTCAATTTCCATTTTTGGCTCCAAGACCTTGCCCCTCCTCTCCCAGTCTGAGCTCTGCTGTGCAGGGGTTGCAAGAGACTGACACCACATAAATTCAGGTACTTGCACTGCTTGTAGGGATGCATGAAAATTTTGGTGGCCGAAACGGTTTGGCCAAAATGAAAAAAAAAAACAGGTGCCAAAAAAAAACCCCGCCCCTCGCCAGTTCTCAGCCTTACCTGAGAAACCATCGATCCCAGCGCTGGGCATAGATATGGAGGGATATGGGGTCAATCCGGAGGACACAGTGGAACACCGAGCGCTGTACGGGACCTCTGTGTGAGGTCCCGATCATGTGATCACTGACTGGCCAATCAGTGATCACATGAAGGGTAGTAAGCAAGATGTCACTTCTGACATCATCGCTTACTACGTGTGAAACCTGTGAATGATCACAGAGATCACATGGTACAGAGCTATTCACACAACAGCCTTGTACCATGTGATAAGCTGTGACCAACCAAGAATGCAGCCAGAGAAAAGGAGAAATGATTGCTTTACAGCCTTTATGGGTGTAAAAGCAATCAGTGTAAAAAAAAAAAAAAAATCTTCATCACCCCCCACAAGTACAGTGTCACCATGGTGACCCCACACTGCTAGGGTGTCAGTATGTAAAAAAAAACAAATAATAATATAGAAAAATAAAATAAAAATTTAAAAATATTTTTTTTTAAATTATAACTTTTGGTTATAAACTAATTTGTTTTTTGTTTTTTTTTTTTTACTAAAAAGATATCTGAATAAATTTTGGCCAAGATTTATGATGAAAGATTATTTATTTGCAAAATTTTATAAGGAAAAACACTTTTTTTTTACCTGGAGGTGCCGGTGGAGGCAGGCGGGGTGGGGGTCCACGTGGAGGAGGACCTGGTGGTAAGCCTGGAGGTGGCCCTGGGGGAGGGCCAGGAGGTCGGCCCGGTGGAGGTCCTGGCGGTAAGAGACGTGGTGGGGGGCCGCGAAGACCCGGTGGTCTCAAGAACGGAGGCGCTCCTAAAACACAAATATGGTGTTCAGCGGAAGATCCAAACAATGAGCAACAGCTGTGAGAACAGATTATTCCATATAGAAGAAAAGGGCAGAAAATATACAAAACATTTATGATCATTCAATTCATTTCTTGACAGGCTGTCCCTTCACTCTATATATTCCAGTAATTGCTGATTGTGGCTATGGAATGAACTGCTCACAGCCCCTACCCAACCAAAATGACCCCGAACCCAACCAAAAATGACCCCTCCACTCAACCAAAAATGACCTCCCACCCAACCAAAATGACCCCGAACCCAACCAAAATGACCTCCACTCAACCAAAATGACCTCAACCAAAATGACCCAACCAAAAATGACCCTGAACCCAACCAAAATGACCCCCTACCCAACCAAAATGACCCCGAACACCAACCAAAATGACCTCCACTCAACCAAAATGACCCCCTACTCAACCAAAATGACCTCGAACCCAACAAAATGACCTCGAACCCAACCAAAATGACCTCCACCCAACCAAAATGACCCCCCACTCCAACCAAAATGACCTCCACCTCAACCAAAATGACCCCGTACCCAACCAAAATGACCTCCACTCAACCAAAATGACCCCCTACCCAACCAAAAAATGGCCCCCTACCCAACCAAAATGACCCCCGAACCCAACCAAAGTGACCCCGAACCCAACCAAAGTGACCCCGAAACCCAACCAAAATGACCCCCTACTCAACCAAAATGACCTCCCCCCAACCAAAATGACTCGAACCCAACCAAAATGACCTCGAACCCAACCAAAATGACCTCGAACCCAACCAAAATGACCTCCACCCAACCAAAATGACCTCCACTCAACCAAAATGACCTCCACTCAACCAAAATGACCCCGTACCCAACCAAAATGACCTCCACTCAACCAAAATGACCCCGTACCCAACCAAAATGACCTCCACTCCCAACCAAAATGACCCCTACCCAACCAAAATGACCCCCCTACCCCCTACCCAACCAAAATGGCCCCCTACCCAACCAAAATGACCACCCCTACTCAACCAAAATGACCTCCCACCCAACCAAAATGACCTTGAACCCAACCAAAATGACCTTGAACCCAACCAAAATGACCTTGAACCCAACCAAAATGACCTTGAACCCAACCCAACCAAAATGACCTTGACCCAACCAAAATGACCTTGAACCCAACCAAAATGACCTCCACCCAACCAAAATGACCTCCACCCAACCAAAATGACCTCCACTCAACCAAAATGACCTCCACCCAACCAAAATGACCTCCACCCAACCAAAATGACCTCCACCCAACCAAAATGACCTCCACTCAACCAAAATGACCCCCTACCCAACCAAAATGACCTCCACTCAACCAAAATGATCCCCTATCAACCATGACCCAACCAAAAATGACCTCCACTCAACCAAAATGACCTCCACCCAACCAAAATGACCCCGTACAACCCCTACCCAACCAAAATGACCCCGTACCCAACCAAAATGACCTCCAAAATGACCTCAACCAAAATGAAACCAACAAAATGACCAAAATGACCTCCACCCAACCCAACCCAAAATGACCCCCAAAATGACCCAACCAAAATGACCCCCAAAATGACCCCCCTACAACCAAAATGAACCCAACCAAAATGACCCCCTACCCAACCTCCACCCAACCAAAATGACCTCCCCCAACCAAAATGACCTTGAACCCAACCAAAATGACCTCCAACCCAACCAAAATGACCTCCACCCAACCAAAATGACCTCCACCCAACCAAAATGACCTCCACCCAACCAAAATGACCTCCACCAACCAAAATGACCTCCACCCCCTACCCTACTCACCAAAATGACTCAACCAAAATCCACCCAACCAAAATGACCTCAACCGAACCCAACCAAAATGACCTCCAAAAATGACCCAACCAAAATGACCTCCCACTACCCAACCAAAATGACCTCCACTCAACCAAAATGACCCCTACCCAACCAAAATGACCTCCACCAACCAAAATGACCCCCCACCTCAACCAAAATGACCCCGTACCCAACCAAAATGACCCAACCAAAATGACCTCCACTCAACCAAAATGATACTCCCATGACCCCCTACCCAACCAAAATGACCCCCTACCCTACCCAACCAAAATGACCCCCTACTCCAACCAAAATGACCTCCAAACCCAACCAACCAAAATGACCTTGACCTCCCCAACCAAAATGACCTTGACTCAACCAAAATGATCCTCCCTACCCAACCAAAATGACCTTGAACCCAACCAAAATGACCTCCACCCAACCAAAATGACCTCCACTCAACCAAAATGACCTCCACCCAGCCAAAATGACCTCCACCTCCACCCAACCAACCAATTACCTCCACCCAACCAAAATGACCTCAACCAAAAAATGACCTCCACTCAACCAAAATGACCTCAACCCCTACCCAACCAAAATGACCTCCCACAAAATTACCCCCTACCCAACCAACCAAAATGATCCCATACCCAACAAAAATGACCAACCACCTCAACCAAAATGACCTCCACCCAACCAAAATGACCCCGTACCCAACCAAAATGACCCCGTACCCAACCAAAATGACCTCCACTCAACCAAAATGACCCCCTACCCAACCAAAATGACCCCCTACCCAACCAAAATGACCCCCTACCCAACCAAAATGACCCCCTACTCAACCAAAATGACCTCCACCCAACCAAAATGACTCTCCACCCAACCAAAATGACATTGAACCCAACCAAAATGACCTCCACCCAACCAAAATGACCTCCACCCAACCAAAATGACCTCCACCCAACCAAAATGACCTCCACCCAACCAAAATGACCTCCACTCAACCAAAATGACCTTCTACTCAACCAAAATGACCTCCACTCAACCAAAATGACCTTCTACTCAACCAAAATGACCTCCACTCAACCAAAATTACCCCCTACCCAACCAAAATGACCTCCACTCAACCAAAATGATCCCATACCCAACAAAAATGACCTCCACACCTCCACTCAACCAAAATGACCCCCTACCCAACCAAAATGACCCCCTACCAAAATGACCCCCCAACCAAAATGACCCCCTACTCCACCAACCAAAATGACCCCCTACCCAACCAAAATGACCCCCAAAATACTCAACCAAAATGACCTCCACCCAACCAAAATGACCTCCACCCAACCAAAATGACATTGAACCCAACCAAAATGACCTCCACCCAACCAAAATGACCTCCACTCAACCAAAATGACCTCCACCCAACCAAAATGACCTCCACCCAACCAAAAAATGACCTCCACTCAACCAAAATGACCTTCTACTCAACCAAAATGACCTCCACTCAACCAAAATGACCTTCTAATCAACCAAAATGACCTCCACTCAACCAAAATTACCCCCCCTACCCAACCAAAATGACCTCCACTCAACCAAAATGATCCCAAAAATGACCTACCCAACAAAAATGACCTCCACTCAACCAAAATGACCCCAACCAAAATGACCCCACCCAACCAAAATGACCTCCAAAACTCAACCAAAATGACCCCGACTCAACCAAAATACCCGTACCCAACCAATATGACCCCGTACCCAACCAAAATGACCCCCTACCCAACCAAAATGACCTCCACTCAACTAAAATTACCCCGTACCCAACCAAAACGATCAATACACAACCAGAATGATCAATAACCAACCAATGCATTTCTTGATGAGCTGTTAATCTATGGAATAAACCATTCACAACCCCCACTCAATCTGAATGACCCTTACCCAGCCAAAATTGCCTTTACTCAACCAGAATGGGCTTTTCCCAACCAGAATGACCCCTACCCAACCAGAATGACCCCTACCCAACCAGAATGGCCCCTAACCAACCAGAATGGCCCCTAACCAACCAGAATGGCCCCTAACCAACCAGAACCAACCAGAAACCAACCAGAATGGCACCCATCCAACCAGAATGGCCTTTACCCAACCAGAATGGCACCTATCCAACCAATTCTTTTCTTGGCGGGCTGCACATTCACTTCTTTATTTTCAAGCAACTGCTATGTTGACTTATAGAATAAACCATTCCCAACCACAATGACCCCGATTCCCATCCAACCAATTATTTTCTTGGTGGACTGTACCTCCACTTCTTTATATTCAAGCAACTGCTAAGTTAACCTATGGAATAAACTGTTACCAACCCCTACCCAACCGGAATGACTTGTACCCAACCAGAATGACCTCTACCCAACCAGAATGGCCACCATCCAACCGGAATGACCCCTACCCAACCACTGGAATGAACCCAACCAAAATGTCCACCATCCAAACAGAATGACCCCTGCCAAACCAATATAGCCCCCTATCCAACCAAAAATGACCCCCCTAACCAACCAAAATTACCTTTTTCCAACCAGAATGGCCCCCCTCTCCAACCAGAATGGCCCCCCCTCTCCAACCAGAATGACCACCTATCCAACCAGAATGGCCCCCTCTCCAACCAGAATGACCACCTATCCAACCAGAATGGCCCCCTCTCCAACCAGAATGGCCCCCTCTCCAACCAGAATGACCACCTATCCAACCAGAATCCACACGCTCCACTGTACTTTGGATCATGGTAACTTTGGATCAATAGCAAGGTAGAGTGAGCCATAGACACAGCAATTTTTCAATATGATTTGAAGCATTGAAGCACACAAGGGTTGGCAAGGCTACAGAGGATAGATGGACCTGCAGATCTTTGCTACCACTAATGATGTAGAGAAAGGTGCTATCCTGATAAACGGTTAGCATCATGAAAATTCAGTTAACCAAGAGGCACACAATGGCTTACTGCTTTGTAAACCAGACACTCGCCTCCTACCTCCCTAACCTCCTCCTTCAGTATTACATTCCACTGACTGCAGTACAGGTGCCCTTTAATAGAGGAGAGACCTATGACCTGTTCTTACAATTACCAGACCAAACATATTACCTGGAGGAGGTCCAGGCGGCATTCCAGTAGGTGGTCCAGGAGGCCGTAGTGGCGGAACAGGCGGCGGGCCAAGAGGAGGAGGTCCCGTCATTATTGATGGCGGCATCTGCAGCGGTGGGGGTGGAACAGTAACAGGAGGCGGAGCTGACACCTGTGTAGAGGAGGAGCCGGATTCTGTGCTCTCTCCCTTTGACTCTTCAGTCCGCTGCTCATTCTCCGGCTCAGACTCGTCCTCGGATGATGAGGGAGACGAATAGTCTTCAGCTTCATGTTCATCGTCCTCCTCCGTCATCTCCTGACCTGCAAGAGTGAGAGACCCCGGTCACATGACCTGCCCAAGTAACTGGCTGTCCTGGCCGTTCAATGCGGTCAAAGTATATCGGACACTGACAACCCTTGTAAATGGTGCAGGAGGAATCCTCCTCCTATGGATATCATCGAATTACAATCCCCCTGTTGTGCTCATAGCTGGAACTAACGGTAAGTAGCAGGGTGACCTACCTGCCATTCGTAACATCATGGCTTGAAGGGGCGTAATGTCCTTCACTGGCTTCTTCTTCTTCTTATGGGATTTCTCTGAAGATTCAGCGAAGCGGACGCTGTGCCCTGAGGAGACGAAGACAGAGCTGAAACCACAGATGAGGAGAGATCTTTATATAAAAATAGAAGATGGCGGGTCCCCTCACCTCCTTTCTTTTCACCGCCGCCTTTTTTGTCCTCGTCCCGCTGTGCGTACTCCCCTTCGTCACTGTCCCGGACATCCGACTGAATGCTGTCGCTGTCCTCGTCGCTGCTCCCCTCCTCCTCCTTATCTTGCTCCATCTCGTTGGGGTAGCCCTCGTCCTCGCTGGAACTGGAGGCGTCATGGCGACCTCTGTCACCTGCAGGGAACACAGAAGATGAAGAATGGCGGAATTTAGATACGCTTGAGACAAACATGGATCTACTCTCAGACAAACAGATTACCAGTTCAGGCATTTTAAAACAACATGCACCTATGCTTTTTGCCCCCTTCCCCTGACCTGACCTAACCACCATCCCACCCTTCCCCTGACCTGACCTAACCGCCATCCCACCCTTCCCCTGACCTAACCACCATCCCACCCTTCCCCTGACCTAACCACCATCCCACCCTTCCCCTGATCTAACCTCCATCCCACCCTTCCCCTGACCTAACCGCCGTCCCACCCTTCCCCTGACCTAACCGCCGTCCCACCCTTCCCCTGACCTGACCTAACCACCATCCCACCCTTCCCCTGACCTGACCTAACCACCATCCCACCCTTCCCCTGACCTATTCACCATCCCACCCTTCCCCTGACCTGACCTAACCTAACCACCATCCCACCCTTCCCCTGACCTGACCTAACCACCGTCCCACCTTTCCCCTGACCTGACCTAACCACCATCCCACCTTTCCCCTGACCTGACCTAACCACCATCCCACCCTTCCCTGACCTGACCTAACCACTATCCCAGCCTTCCCCTGACCTAACCACCATCCCACCCTTCCCCTGACCTGACCTAACCGCCATCCCACCCTTCCCCTGACCTGACCTAACCGCCATCCCACCTTTCCCCTGACCTAACCTACCCGCCATCCCACCCTTTCCCTGACCTAACCTACCCGCCATCCCACCCTTCCCCTGACCTACCCATCATCTCACCCTTCCCCTGACCTAACCACCATCCCACCCTTCCCCTGACCTAACCTACCCACCATCCCACCCTTCCCCTGACCTAACCTACCCGCCATCCCACCCTTTCCCTGACTTAACCTACCTGCCATCCAACCCTTCCCCTGACCTACCCATCATCCCACCCTTCCCCTGACCTAACCGCCATCCCACCCTTCCCCTGACCTAACCGCCATCCCACCCTTCCCCTGACCTAACCGCCATCCTACCCTTCCCCTGACCTAACCACCGTCCCACCCTTCCCCGGACCTAACCGCCATCCCACCCTTCCCCTGACCTAAGCACCGTCCCACCCTTCCCCTGACCTAACCGCTGTCCCACCCTTCCCCTGACCTGACCTAACTGCCATCCCACCCTTCCCCTGACCTAACCGCCGTCCCACCCTTCCCCTGACCTAACCACCGTCCCACCCTTCCCCTTACCTAACCACCGTCCCACCCTTCCCCTTACCTAACCACCGTCCCACCCTTCCCCTGACCTAACCACCGTCCCACCCTTCCCCTGACCTGACCTAACCACCATCCCACCTTTCCCCTGACCTAACCGCCGTCCCACCTGTCCCCTGACCTAACCGCCATCCCACCCTTCCCCAGACCTAACCTAACTGCCTTCCCACCCTTCCCCTGACCTAACCGCCATCCCACCCTTCCCCTGACCTAACCGCCATCCCACCCTTCCCCTGACCGAACCTACATCCTACCCTTCCCCTGACCTAACCTAACCGCCTTCCCACCCTTCCCCTGACCTAACCGCCATCCCACCCTTCCCCTGACCTAACCTAACCGCCTTCCCACCCTTCCCCTGACCTAACCGCCATCCCACCCTTCCCCTGACCTAACCGCCATCCCACCCTTCCCCTGACCGAACCTACATCCTACCCTTCCCCTGACCTAACCTAACCGCCTTCCCACCCTTCCCCTGACCTAACCTAACCGCCATCCCACCCTTCCACTGACCTAACCACCGTCCCACTCTTCCTCCGACCTAACCTACCTGCCATCCAACCCTTCCCCTGACCTACCCATCATCCCACCCTTCCCCTGACCTACCCATCATCCCACCCTTTCCCTGACCTGACCTACCTACCTGCCCTCCCACCCTTCCCCTGACCTGACCTACCTACCTGCCCTCCCACCCTTCCCCTGACCTGACCTACCTACCTGCCCTCCCACCCTTCCCCTGATCTGACCTACCTGCCGTCCCACCCTTCCCCTGACCTAACCTACCTGCCGTCCCACCCGGCTAGACCCAGTGATCGACAGCTGTAGCCGCCAATGGCAGCACAGGTAGTGCGGCACACACGTGTCCCTACACAGTGATACAAAATCATGTATGATCGTCTGTCAGCTTTCCCAGACGATCACCGGGTGCCGGCGGACCCGATGATTGACATCCCTAGCTGCCAATAGCGGAGCAGGTACGGTGGCGCTCTTGCGACGCACGATTTCCTCTCAAGCAGAACACGACACCCTCACCTCTATCAGGGCTGTATCTCACGTCGTCATCCTTCTTCCTCATAATGTTGTCCAAAGCAAAGCCGACTTTCCGGCCGTACATCTGTAGAACCTGGGGTGGGGGTGGACCTGAGGGCGGCCCGGGCGGTTTCTTGCCGGGTGGTAAGCGAGGAACACCGTGCCCCGGGGGATAGGTCACAGATACTCCACGCCCCTGAGGTCTGGAAAAAAAAAATTTAAAGATTCGTCTATGATCTTCGAAAGCACACCTGTTTCCTTTATTACTATATTTTTAGATAGCAAGTACCTGGTTTATCCTGTCATCTTCCTCTGCTTCCTTATCCATAGGGGCAACACTACGCCAGCTAATCCCATTTTCTGTGTTGGTACTGTCATACGTATGCTCCAGGTTTCCCCCGGAAGAAGCCATGCTCTAACAGTTTTATGAAAGAACATAACCCTGGCATCCCTTTAGACATGCATGTTTCTCCCTGCTGGCTGTTGCAGACATTAGCTGTGCAATTTGTTCCAGAAGCAGGTCTGATAGATTGTAATCAAGCAGCTGATCAGCAGATTGCACCGCTAAGATATACACCACCCAGTGGCCAGCAGGGAGAAGTATGCATATCTAAGGGGATGCCAGGAATGTGTTTTTTTTTTTTACTTAATGTTTGTACACAGAGCTTCATTACAAGCTGCCTGAATTCTTCTTTGCTGGAGTACAGAATTTCACCTTTTGTCCTCATCTCTAACATAAAGTGGAAGTCCAATCAAATCCTAACTATACATAAACCTGCCACAACCCCCATTCTAAGCCCATTCTAACTACCCTGCAAAAGGGAAGATGTCTATACCTGTTGAGGGCGCTCCGCTCCTCTAGTCACATGATCTCTCCAGCAGCGGGCTTCAATGAAGAGGAGTGACGGCTGCAAAGCCTATGCGGTGATATCACCCATAGGCTTACTATGGGGTATACAGTCAGCTGTCCAACTGAAGCCGGTTCTGGGAGCCAATCGTGACCGGACCAGAGCGCCCTCAAAGCATGTCATACTTACCTACTCTGTGCAATGGTTTTGTGCAAAGCATCCCCGATCCTCCTCTTCTGGGGTCCCCTGGCTCTCCTGGCTTCTCCTCTTTGGCGAGTTCCCCCCAAAGAAAACCGCTTTCTATGGGGGCACTCGTGCAGGCTCGATCCTGAGCCACCCTGTCTGTGTCTATATACAGGGAGTGCGGCTCAGCTCTGCCCCCACCTCACAAAATTTGATTGACAGCAGTGGGAGCCAATAACTCTCGCTGCCATCAATCTGCCCTGTGAGGAGAAAGATGCGGCTCCTGGGCACAGCACTGGATCTATATCGGGCTCAGGTAAGTGTAAGGGGGGGGGGGGGGAGATCCAGTAGCACATAAAATGCATTAAGGTAAAATAAAACCTTAAAAAGGAGAAGTATAGCCATAGCCTTGGCCCTACTATAATGGATCGTTCTGCAGTTCCTTCTGCACCCTTGTACCCCGTTTTCAGCCAGCAGCTGGCTAGAGCCCACTGTTGGCTGACTTCACAGACCCAGTCCAGGCTTTAACCACTTCAAGTCCAGACACTCCCCCCCCTTCCAGTCCGGACACTTTCACCCCCTTCCTGTCCAGGCCAATTTGCATCTTTCAGCCCCTTCCAGTCCGGACACTTTCCCCCCCCCTTCCTGTCCAGGCCCATCTTTCAGCCCCTTCCAGTCCGGACACTTTCCCCCCCCTTCCAGTCCGGACACTTTACCCCCCTTCCAGTCCGGACACTTTCCCCCCCTTCCAGTCCGGACACTTTCCCCCCCCCTTCCAGTCCGGACACTTCCCCCCCTTCCAGTCCGGACACTTTCACCCCTTCCAGTCCGGACACTTTCACCCCCTTCCAGTCCGGACACTTTCACCCCCTTCCAGTCCGGACATTTTCCCCCCCTTCCAGTCCGGACACTTTCCCCCCCTTCCAGTCCGGACACTTTCCCCCCCTTCCAGTCCGGACACTTTCCCCCCCTTCCAGTCCGGACACTTTCACCCCCTTCCAGTCCGGACACTTTCACCCCCTTCCAGTCCGGACACTTTCCCCCCCTTCCAGTCCGGACACTTTCCCCCCCTTCCAGTCCGGACACTTTCCCCCCCTTCCAGTCCGGACACTTTCCCCCCCTTCCAGTCCGGACACTTTCCCCCCTTCCAGTCCGGACACTTTCACCCCCTTCCAGTCCGGACACTTTCACCCCCTTCCAGTCCGGACACTTTCACCCCCTTCCAGTCCGGACACTTTCACCCCCTTCCAGTCCGGACACTTTCCCCCCCTTCCAGTCCGGACACTTTCCCCCCCTTCCAGTCCGGACACTTTCCGGACCCCCCCTTCCAGTCCAGTCCCCCCCGGAGTCCGGACACTTTCCCCCCCTTCCAGTCCGGACACTTTCCCCCCCTTCCAGTCCGGACACTTTCACCCCCTTCCAGTCCGGACACTTTCACCCCCTTCCAGTCCGGACACCCCCCCTTCCAGTCCGGACACTTCCCCCCCTTCCTGCCCAGGCCAATTTTCAGCTGTCAGCGCTATCACACTTTGAATGACAATTGCGCGGTCATGCAACACTGTAACCATATGAATTTTTTTGCATTTTTTGAGACAGATAAAGCTTTATTTTGGTGGTATTTATTCACCGCTGGGATTTTTATTTTTTTTTGCTATATAAATGAAAAAGTCCAAAAATTTTGAAAAAAAGTGTTTGTCTTAGAAAATTTTGCAAATAAATAACATTTTATCATAAATCTTGCCCAAAATGTATCCAGTTATCTTTTTAGTAAAAAAAAAATAACCCAAATTAGTTTATGACACTGTACTACTTGTGGGGGGTGATGAAGATTTTTCTTTTTTTTTTTACACTGATTGCTTTTACACCCATAAAGGCTGTACAATCATTTCTCCTTCTCTCTGGCTGCATTCTTGCAGCCATTGAGAAATACTGTGAGAGCGGTGATTGGTCACAGCTTGTCACATGGTACAAGGCTGTTGTGAATGGCCCTGTACCATGTGATCTCTGTGATCATTCACAGATTTCACACATAGTAAGCAATGATGTCAAAAGTGACATCTTGCTTACTACTCTGTATGTGATCACTGATTGGCCAATCAGCGATCACATGATCGGGACCTCGCACAGAGGTCCCGTCTGACGATCAGTATCCCACTGTGTCTGAAAGACACGGCGGGCAACGGATCGCGATGCTGCGCTCCCAGGGAGCGTGCACAAGCAAAGGGTGGGGAGGCCATTTATAAACGTCCACCCGACCCTGCACTGCCACCCTCCGGCCCTTTATATACATGAGCGGATGGGAAGTGGTTAAAAGGATCCCGACCATATGGTCAGGATCCCCTGAAAAGCCTGGACTGGCAGGTGGCTCAGCCCCTCGGCGATCCGCTGAGAGCCCGAACCAGCTGCTCCCGCCCCCTCCCCAGGCAAGCGCTCCAGTGAGCACTGGAGGGGCAGAGGCTGAAGACGGAGAGCTGAGCCACCAGCCATCCTTGATCGTTCAGGTCTTCATGGCGGCGGGGCTTGGGGGGCACTGCAGATGGGACCGGTGCTGCAGCCATCTAGGCAAGCATGATTGTTTTCTAATCCCAAACTTCTCTTTTTCAGGCTTCAGGACCATTTTCAGTTCGGCAGAGAAGGGATAACATGGGGACGGCGTGTGTATTATAGAGGCTCATCTTACCCATAAGCGGAGGTCTTCTTAAGAATGGAGGGTGGCTGAGTCCCGGGCAGAGGAATGTCTTGAATGAGAATGTTAGAAGGAGCGTGAGGAAGGTCCGGCAGCGGAATGCTCTCCACCTCCACATGCTGAGCGTTCTGCACAGATAACAGAAATCACATTACCATCCGGGCAGTGCAGGGCAGCTAGCCAACATCATGAGCAGGTCCATGACAGAGCTCAGGGTGGAGATCACTGGAGATGGATGAGAAGGCAAGAGACAGGGCCATGGGTGACGTCCACATAGCTGCCAGGTTTAGAAAATGTTGTCACCCTCTTAGTACTGTGCGTCACGCCCAGGGGTGTCCGTGTGACTGGACCAGAGCGCCCTCATTAGGTCATACTAACCTGTTCTGTGCAATGGTTTTGTGGAAAGCATCCCCAATCCTCCTCTTCTGGGGTCCCCCGGAGCTCCTGGCTTCTCCTCGTTGGCCAGTTACCTGTAATAAAACCGCTGTCTATGGGGGCGGCGACACCCCCTGGCAGAAGGGACATCGTGGGTGTCAGCTGGGGGAAGATGTCAGGGGGTGTGGGTGGTATACAGCCAGCCAAGCCGACACACAAGTAGGAGCGACCCAGGGGACCAGCTGCAGAGGAGGGCGGAGTAGTGGGTGGATCCCCGAAGGCCGAGCCCGCTGTCAGTGTGCTATGGGCTGTGCGAGGTGAACACCATCTGGAGGAGCCGCTGCTGGACAGGTAAGAGCTTGGAGGGAGGACTGGTGCTTCCCCCCTCCTGTCACGCTACCCCCCCCCCCCCCCCCCGCACCCAATCACACTGTGCCCCACCCCCCCTTCCCACTGCCCCCTCCTATCCCACTGCCCCTACTGCCACCCCCCCATCATGCTGCCCCACTCCAGTCCCACTTCCCCTTGTCATGTTGACCCCCCCCCAATCATGCTGCCCCGCTCCTGTTCCGCTTCCCCCTCCTGCCCCCCCATCATGCTGCCCCACTTCCCCTTGTCATGTTGACCCCCCCCCCCAATCATGCTGCCCCCCCTCATGTTAAGCTTCCCCGTCATTTTGCCCCCCCCCATCATGGTGACCCCCTCCTGTCTCGCTTCCCCCTCCTGTCCCCCCCCCCCATCATGCTGCCCCCCTCCTGTCCTGCCCCCCCGCCCATCATGCTGCCCCCCTCCTTTCCTGCTTCCCCTTGTCATATTGACCCCCCAACATGCTGCCCCCCTCCTGTCCCGCTTCCCTGTCATGTTGACCCGCCTCCCTCCTGTCCCCCCCATCATGCTGCCCCCTTCTGTCCCACTTCCCCTTGTCATGTTGACCCCCCCCATCATGCTGCCCCCCTCTTGTCCCGCTTCCCCCTCCTGTCCCCCCCCCCCATCATGCTGCCCCCCTCCTGTCCCGCTTCCCCCTCCTGCCCCCCCCCCCATCATGCTGCCCCCTCCTGTCCAGCTTCCCCGTCATGTTGACCCGCCTCCTCCTGTCCCCCCCCATCATGCTGCCCCCCTCCTGTCCCCCCCCATCATGCTGCCCCCCCCTCCTGTGCCGCATCCCTGCCATGTTGACCCACCCCCCTCCTGCCCCCCACCCCATCATGCTGCCCCCTCCTATCCCGCTTCCCCTTGTCATGTTGACCCCCCCATCATGCTGCCCCCCCTCCTGTCCTGCTTCCCCCTCCTGTCCCCCCCCCATCATGCTGCCCCCCTCCTGTCCCCCCCCCCCCCCCCCCCATCATGCTGCCCCCCTCCTGTCCCGCTTCCCCTGTCATGCTGACCCCCTATCACGCTGCCCCCCTCCTGTCCTGAAGGGGTGGATCTTATACAGCAAGGGGTAGGACAAATTTAGATGGGGGGGGGGGGGGCATATTTTAGCCTTGCCTAGGGCAGCACCGAACCAAAACACACACCGCTGGTCATACCATCTCCTATATCTGCAGTTTTCATGTTGATGATTGGCTGGAGTTTTGCTGGATCTCACCTTCACGGCATCGAAGTATTGGCTGAGCTGGGACCTCTTGTGTTCGTACTCCAGCTCGATCTTGCGCAGCTCTTTGTAGGTCTCGGGGTTCTCCTTCTCGTAAAGACGCAGAATGCGCTCGAAGGTCTCCCGCAGCTTCTTCCGCTTGTCTTTCAGGACTTTCTCATTGAGCTGCGGCTGCTGGACTGGGTTGAATTCTGCGGAAAGTTTGAGTTGATAGATTTCATTCTATGACATCACTATGACATCACAAGAGTTCCAACACAATGAAGAAACACCACCATGGCCGCCGGACTCCCATACCAGGCCCCCTCAGGGCAGCAGGGGGCCCCTTGCCTGGCAGCAGTAATCACAGTGCAGGATCCACAGCTCGGTGTGGGAACGCCTGCCCTCGGGAGTTGGGGCCCGAGCCGGCTCCACCTTACATTGGTGTCCCTCCTCAGTGACAACCAGTCTGATGGTCAATGGCGTGACTTCAGTGTGGAAAAATCCCGACTGCCAGTTCATATGACTGGTGGCATTCCTCCACTACGCGCTTCAGGGCTCGCCACAAGGACAGCAGCTTCACCATGTCCAAAGCTTGGGGATCCCTGCCAGGTAGGCTGTGCGGGGCCCCAGGATTCCCAATGGTGGCCCCTGTGTGCCATACAAACAATTCTGCAGCCACCGCAGGACTTTTTTCTTTTACAGAATTCATAAGTTGTCACTGCAGAGCTCTGCTGTGTAATGTGGATGAAGGAATCAAGTGATTTCCCTCATTCAGACAATTCTCTCTCCCCGAGTTCACTGATGGTGCGACCTGCAGGGGACGTCATTGTCGTGTTGCAGCAGGACGTCATTGTCGTGTTGCAGCAGGACGTCATTGTCGTGTTGCAGCAGGACGTCACTCTCCTAATCGGCGTGGACCAATCCTCACCCTGCTTGCCTTAGTAATCAGAGAGGAAAGTATTAGATTTACTGGGTTTGAACTTTTTGTTTACATTTCTCCAGTTACTTTCTGGTTTCCATGTCTAGGCAAATGATGTCGTCATCCCAGAAGTCTTCAGGAGAAGAGGCGGGGCTTTATCAGCTAAACACACCCTCCTGCCTGCATACCTGAGCTAAGGACAGCCGAATTCCAGGAAGTAAATGCTACGAGTCATTGGCCCTTACTCAAGAAATGCTAGGGGGGCGATTTCCTAGCAAAATAGAGCATGGAGACATGAATGGAAGAATGGAGATATGGATGGATGGAGATATGGATGAATGAATGGAGACATGGATGGATTGATAGATGAATGGATGGAGACATGGATTGAGGAATGGAGCTATGGATGGATGGATGCCTGAATGGATGGAAGGATGAGGCATGAATGGATGGATGGAGACATGGATGGATGGAGACATGGATCGATGAATGGAGCTATGGATGGAGGCATGAATACATGGATGGATGGAGGCATGAATGGATAGATGGAGGCATGAATGGATAGATGGATGGAGGCATGAATGGATAGATGGAAGGAGGCATGAATGGATAGATGGATGGAGGCATGAATGGATAGATGGATGAGTAGGAGGCATGAATGGATAGATGGATGGAGGCATGAATGGATAGATGGATGGAGGCATGAATGGATAGATGGATGGAGGCATGAATGGATAGATGGATGGAGGCATGAATGGATAGATGGATGGAGGCATGAATGAATGGATAGATGGATGGAGGCATGAATGGATAGATGGATGGAGGCATGAATGGATAGATGGATGGAGACATGAATGGATAGATGGATGGAGGCATGAATGGATAGATGGATGGAGACATGAATGGATAGATGGATGGGACATGAATGGATAGATGAATGGATAGATGGATGGAGGACATGGATGGATAGATGGATGGAGACATGAATGGATAGATGGATGGAGGACATGAATGGATAGATGGATGGAGACATGAATGGATAGATGGATGGAGACATGAATGGATAGATGGATGGAGACATGAATGGATAGATGGATGGAGACATGGATGGATAGATGGATGGAGACATGAATGGATAGATGGATGGAGACATGGATGGATAGATGGATGGAGACATGAATGGATAGATGGATGGAGGCATGAATGGATAGATGGAGGCATGAATGGATAGATGGATGGAGGCATGAATGGATAGATGGAAGGAGGCATGAATGGATAGATGGAAGGAGGCATGAATGGATAGATGGAAGGAGGCATGAATGGATAGATGGATGGAGGCATGAATGGATAGATGGATGGAGGCATGAATGGATAGATGGATGGAGGCATGAATGGATAGATGGATGGAGGCATGAATGGATAGATGGATGGAGGCATGAATGGATAGATGGGATGGAGGCATGAATGGATAGATGGATGGAGGAATGAATGGATAGAGTAATGGAGACATGAATGGATAGATGGATGGAGGCATAAATGGATAGATGGATGGAGACATGAATGGATAGATGGATGGAGACATGGATGGATAGATGGATGGAGACATGAATGGATAGATGGATGGAGACATGAATGGATAGATGGATGGGAGACATGAATGGATAGATGGATGGAGACATGAATGGATAGATGGATGGAGACATGAATGGATAGATGGATGGAGACATGGATGGATAGATGGATGGAGACATGAATGGATAGATGGATGGAGGCATGAATGGATAGATGGATGGAGGAATGAATGGATGGAGGAATGAATGGATAGAGGAAGGAATGGGACATGAATGGATAGATGGATGGAGGCATGAATGGATAGATGGATGGAGGCATAAATGGATAGATGGATGGAGGCATGAATGGATAGATGGAAACAAACGGATGGAAGAATGATTGAAGACATGGACGGATGAAGACACGGATGGATGGATGGGGGAGTTTGCGTTCAATACTAACAATGAGCTGTCTGCTCTCCTGACATGGAGGTGGGAAGAGGCGGACTATTTCAGAGACAAGGAATGTCATCGTTGTGAGGAGACACAACAAATGGATTCTGCATGGGCTCCGGGATCCCGGGTGCAGCAGACATGTTTGTGTGTTGGCTCAGCTCACCCATCTCATCCAGCTTCTCCATGTCCCGGATGATCTGCTTGGGATCCTTCATCTTCAGCACGGCCGCCCTCACCATCATCCGCTGCTTCTTGTTCTGGAACACATTTGACAAACACGGTCAACAAGGCAGAACACAGAAACCTTCCCCTGACCCCGCAACCAGTCATGATCTGCACCTTCATCAGGACAGCTGGCTGTATAAAGACGGGTTACAGGACAGCTCCCCAGGGCAGGGCCCTACAAATCCCAGGCGTCAGGTTGCCATGGCGACTAGCCGTTGTGTCCTAGCTCCTGGGCATTTGTCAGCCGTCCGCTTCATTACTGCGCAGTGGCATAGTGTGTGTGTGAACGCACGCCCCGGGCACAACATATAGAAGGGTGCAGACCGTACCAAATCTGTTCATCCCCGCTTCTCCCTCAGCACAGACCGGGGCCACACATCCCACGCGTCTCCCCGACACACTGCAGCAACAGTCGCAAGCACCCTGGAAACGCAAGTCCCGCCCTCAACCCAGAGTCGGCTGGAGAGAACGGTCGGTGGGCAGGGTTCGCTTGTGAGACTCTGTGTCAGGATTGGCCGCAGCTGTAGTCATTTGGCGTGGAACTGGTCGTGCCAGGAGGTTGAAGTAGAGTACACGGGAGGTCGGCAGCGGGGAGTACACGGGAGGTCGGCAGCGGGGAGTACACGGGAGGTCGGCAGCGGGGAGTACACGGGAGGTCGGCAGCGGGGAGTACACGGGAGGTCGGCAGCGGGGAGTACACGGGCGGTCAGCAGCGGGGAGTACACGGGCGGTCGGCAGCGGGGAGTACACGGGCGGTCGGCAGCGGGGAGTACACGGGCGGTCGGCAGCGGGAGAGTACACGGGCGGTCGGCAGCGCGGGGAGTACACGGGGGGGTCGGCAGCGGGGAGTACACGGGCGGTCGGCAGCGGGGAGTACACGGCGGTCGGCAGCGGGGAGTACACGGGCGGTCGGCAGCGGGGAGTACACGGGCGGTCGGCAGCGGGGAGTACACGGGCGGTCGGCAGCGGGGAGTACACGGGCGGTCGGCAGCGGGGAGTACACGGGCGGTCGGCAGCGGGGAGTACACGGGCGGTCGGCAGCGGGGAGTACACGGGCGGTCGGCAGCGGGGAGTACACGGGCGGTCGGCAGCGGGGAGTACACGGGCGGTCGGCAGCGGGGAGTACACGGGAGGTCGGCAGCGGGGAGTACACGGGAGGTCGGCAATAACAAAAGACATAAACATGACTGAACCCCTCTCACCTTCTTCAGTTCCCTCTTCCTGGCCTCCTCCCTGCACAGAGCAGAACACAGCGATCAGTACAGATGAAGACGAACATACAAACCACAGACAGATCTCCCCCAACTCCTCCATCCCCCCCAACTCTCCATCTCCCCCCAACAAAAAGCCGAATTTGACCCATTCCATGCAAAAACCCCAAAAACGGACTGGACAAAATTATTGGCACCCTCAATGTAATATTTGGTAAATATTTGGAAAGAATGCCTGAAATCTATGTCTTCCTGGAACCATCATTGAGTTTCTCCCCCCTTTCTACTGGAATTTCAGATTGCTCTTCTTCCTCCAACTGCTCCAGGTCTCTCAGATTGGAAGGTTCCTTTCCCCAACTGCTCCTCAGATTGGAAGGGTTCCTTTCCCCAAACGGGTGCTCTCATTGGAAGGGTCCTTTCCCCAACTGCTGGTTTCTCAGATTGGAAGGGTTCCTTCCCCAAGGGTTCTCCTTTCCCCAACTGCTCCAGGTTCTCTCAGATTGGAAGGGTTCCTTTCCCCAACTGCCCTGGGTCTCTCAGATTGGAAGGGTTCCTTTCCCCAACTGCCCCAGGTCTCTCAGATTGGAAGGGTTCCTTTCCCCAACTGCTCCAGGTCTCTCAGATTGGAAAGGTTCCTTTCCCCAACTGCTCCAGGTCTCTCAGATTCAGACCGGTTCCTTTTGGAAGGGTCTCCTTTCCCCAACTGCTCCAGGTCTCTCAGATTGGAAGGGTTCCTTTCCCCCCAACTGGAAGGGTTCCTTTCCCCAACTACTCCCCAGATTGGAAGGGTTCCTTTCCCCCAACTGCTCCGGGTCTCTCAGATTGGAAGGGTTCCTTTCCCCAACTGCTCCAGGTCTCTCAGATTGGAAGGGTTCCTTTCCCCCAACTGCTCCAGGTCTCTCAGACTGAAAGTGTTCCTTTCTCCAACTGCTCCAGGTCTCTCAGATTGGACCGGTTCCTTTTCCCAACTGCTCTCGGGTCTCTCTCTCAGATTGGAAGGGTTCCTTTCCCCAACTGCTCCAGGTCTCTCAGATTGGAAGGGTTCCTTTCCCCAACTACTCCAGGTCTCTAAGATTGGAAGGGTTCCTTTCCCCAACTGCTCCAGGTCTCTCAGATTGGAAGGGTTCCTTTCCCCAACTGCTCCGGGTCTCTCAGATTGGAAGGTTCCTTTTCCCAATGGCTGGTCTGAGATCTCTCCACAGGAGCTCTATGGGATGGAGATCTGGACTCATCGCTGGCCACTTCAGTCCTCTCCAGCACTTTGTCCGAAACCATTTCTGGGGACTTTGTGACGTGTGATTTGGGTCATTGTCCTGCTGTAAGACCCATGACCTCTGACATTGGAAACCCAACTTTCTGACACCGGGCCCTACATTGCACCCCAGAATTCTTTGGCGTCTTCAGATTTCATAATGCCATGCACACGGTCAAGACATCCAGTGCCTGAAGCAGCAAAGCAACCCCAAACATCAGTGACCCCCCACCATGTGTGACTGGAGGGACTGTGACCCCCCACCATGTGTGACTGGAGGGACTTTGACCCCCCCCACCATGTGTGACTGGAGGGACTGGATTTTTTTAAGGCCTCATTTTTGTTCCTGAAATCAGTAGAATGATGGGTTTTACCAAAAGGTTGCCATTTGGTTCCGTCTGCCCACAGCACATTCTCCCAGAAGGATTTTGGCTTCCTCAGGTAAGTTTTGGCAAACTATAATCTGGTTCCCAATATGTATCTGTGTCAGCGGTGGGGTCCTCCTGGTCTCCCCCATATTTCTGTGTCAGCAGTGGGGTCCTCCTGGGTCTCCTACCATATTTCTGTGTCAGCAGTGGGGTCCTCCTGGGTCTCCTACCATATTTCTGTGTCAGCAGTGGGGTCCTCCTGGGTCTCCCCCATATTTCTGTGTCAGCAGTGGGGTCCTCCTGGGTCTCCCACCATATTTCTGTGTCAGCGGTGGGGTCCTCCTGGATCTCCCACCATATTTCTGTATCAGTAGTGGGGTCCTCCTGGGTCTCCTACCATATTTCTGTGTCGGCAATGGGGTCCTCCTGGGGCTCCTACCATATTTCTGTGTCAGCAGTGGGGTCCTCCTGGGTCTCCCACCATATTTCTGTGTCAGCAGTGGGGTCCTCCTGGGTCTCCTCCCATATTTCTGTGTCACAGGTGGGGCCCTCCTGGGTCTCCCACCATATTTCTGTGTCAGCAGTGGGGTCCTCCTGGTCTCCCACCATATTTCTGTGTCAGCGGTGGGGTCCTCCTGGGTCTCCTCCCATATTTCTGTGTCAGCAGCGGGGTTCTCCTGGATCTCCTCCCATGTTTCTGTGTCAGCAGCGGGGTTCTCCTGGTCTCCCCCAATTTCTGTGTCAGCAGCGGGGGTCCTCCTGGATCTCCTCCCATATTTCTGTGTCAGCAGCGGGGTCCTCCTGGGTCTCCCTCCCATATTTCTGTGTCAGCGGTGGGGTCCTCCTGGGTCTCCTCCCATATTTCTGTGTCAGCGGTGGGGTCCTCCTGGGTCTCCTCCCATATTTCTGTGTCAGCGGTGGGGTCCTCCTGGGTCTCCTCCCATATTTCTGTGTCAGCAGTGGGGTCCTCCTGGGTCTCCCACCATATTTCTGTGTCAGCAGTGGGGTCCTCCTGGGTCTCCTACCATATTTCTGTGTCAGCGGTGGGGTCCTCCTGGGTCTCCCACCATATTTCTATGTCAGCAGTGGGGTCCTCCTGGGTCTCCTACCATATTTCTGTGTCAGCAGTGGGGTCCTCCTGGGTCTCCTCCCATATTTCTGTGTCACCGGTGGGGTCCTCCTGGGTCTCCTACCATATTTCTGTGTCACTGGTGGGGTGCTCCTGGGTCTCCTCCCATATTTGTGTGTCAGAGGTGGGGTCCTCCTGGGTCTCCTACCATATTTCTGTGTCAGTGGTGGGGTCCTCCTGGGTCTCCCACCATATTTCTGTGTCAGCAGTGGGGTCCTCCTGGGCCTCCCACCATATTTCTGTGTCAGCGGTGGGGTCCTCCTGGGTCTCCTCCCATATTTCTGTGTCACCGGTGGGGTCCTCCTGGGTCTCCCACCATATTTCTGTGTCAGCGGTGGGGTCCTCCTGGGTCTCCCACCATATTTCTGTGTCAGTAGTGGGGTCCTCCTGGGTCTCCCACCATATTTCTGTGTCAGCAGTGGGGTCCTCCTGGGTCTCCCACCATATTTCTGTGTCAGCAGTGGGGTCCTCCTGGGTCTCCCCCCATATTTCTGTGTCACCGGTGGGGTCCTCCTGGGTCTCCCACCATATTTCTGTGTCAGCGGTGGGGTCCTCCTGGGTCTCCTCCCATATTTTCTGTGTCAGCAAGTGCGGTGGGGTCCTCCTGGGTCTCCTACCATATTTCTGTGTCAGCGGTGGGGTCCTCCTGGGTCTCCACCATATTTCTGTGTCAGCAGTGGGGTCCTCCTGGGTCTCCCACCATATTTCTGTGTCAGCAGTGGGGTCCTCCTGGGTCTCCACCATATTTCTGTGTCAGCAGTGGGGTCCTCCTGGGTCTCCTCCCATATTTCTGTGTCACCGGTGGGGTCCTCCTGGGTCTCCCACCATATTCATCTGTGTCACTGGTGGGGTGCTCCTGGGTCTCCTCCCATATTTGTCAGAGTGGGGTCCTCCTGGTCTCCTACCTTGGATTTTTCTGTCAGTGAGTGGGGTCCTCCTGGGTCTCCCACCATATTTCTGTGTCAGCAGTGGGGTCCTATGGGCCTCCCACACCATATTTCTGCTGTCAGTGTCTCCTCCCAGATGGACTTGTCACCTTGGGTCCTCCTGGTCTCCACCATATTTTTCTTTGTCTCAGACAATTCTTTGGCGGGTGGGGTCCTCCTGGGTCTCCCACCACCAGAATATTTCTGTGTCAGTAGTGGGGTCCTCCTGGGTCTCCCACCATTATTTCTGTGTCAGACAGTGGGGTCCTCCTGGGTCTCCTTACCATATTTCTGTGTCAGCATTGGGGTCCTCCTGGGTCTCCTCCACCATATTTCTGTGTCAGCAGTGGGGTCCTCCTGGGTCAAACCCACCATATTTCTGTGTCAGCAGTGGGGTCCTCCTGGTCTCCCTCCCATATTTCTGTGTCAGCAGTGGGGTCCTCCTGGGTCTCCAACCATATTTCTGTGTCAGCGGTGGGGTCCTCCTGGTCTCCACCATATTTCTGTGTCAGCATGTGGGGTCCTCCTGGTCTCCCTACCATACTTTTTGTGTCAGTTAGTGGGGTCCCACCATCCCCACCATATTTCTGTGTCAGCAGTGGGGTCCTCCTGGGTCTCCTACCATATTGTCAGCAGTGGGGGTCCTCCTGGTCTCCTCCCATATTTCTGTGTCACCGGTGGGGTCCTCCTGGGTCTCCCACCATATTTCTGTGTCACTGGTGGGGTGCTCCTGGGTCTCCTCTCCATATTTCTGTGTCAGAAGAGTGGGGTCCTCCTGGGTCTCCTACCATATTTCTGTCAGTGGTGGGGTCCTCCTGGGTCTCCCACCATATTTCTGTGTCAGCAGTGGGGTCCTCCTGGGCCTCCCACCATATTTCTGTGTCAGCGGTGGGGTCCTCCTGGGTCTCCTCCTCCCATATTTCTGTGTCACCGGTGGGGTCCTCCTGGGTCTCCCACCATATTTCTGTGTCAGCGGTGGGGTCCTCCTGGGTCTCCCACCATATTTCTGTGTCAGTAGTGGGGGTCCTCCTGGGTCTCCCACCATATTTCTGTGTCAGCAGTGGGGTCCTCCTGGGTCTCCTACCATATTTCTGTGTCAGCAGTGGGGTCCTCCTGGTCTCCCACCATATTTCTGTGTCAGCAGTGGGGTCCTCCTGGGTCTCCTCCCATATTTCTGTGTCAGCAGTGGGGTCCTCCTGGGTCTCCTCCCATATTTCTGTGTCAGCAGTGGGGTCCTCCTGGGTCTCCTCCCATATTTCTGTGTCAGCAGTGGGGTCCTGCTGGGTCTCCAACCATATTTCTGTGTCAGCAGTGGGGTCCTCCTGGGTCTCCTACCATATTTCTGTGTCAGCAGTGGGGTCCTCCTGGGTCTCCTACCATAGCACCCCTTTTTCATTCAGATGGCGATGTATATTGGGAGCGGACACAGTTGTACCCGGTGCCTGAAGGTCAACTTGGATTTGTCTCGAAGTTGATGGAGGTTCTTTATCCGCCATTCCAACAATTCTTTGTTGCAATCTTTGATCAATTTTTCTCTTTCATCCACATCCAGGGAGATCAGCTACAGTGCCATGGGCTGTACACTTCCTGACAATGCTGCGCACAGTGGACACAGGAACACGAAGATCTCTGGAGATGGACGTGTAACCTTGAGATTCTCCATGCTTTTCCACCATTTTTGTTCTCCAATCCTCAGACAATTCTTTGCTGCTCTTCCTCTCCTCCATGTGACACACAGAGACACCCAACAGAAAGTTGGAGGCCATTTGTCACCATTGTCCCCCGGTAGTCGGTGGGATTTCTATGTTGTCAGCACCTGGTCATGGATACGGGGGAGTTTAATGACAAATTACAAGAAAATCACAAACCTGGAATGCAATTATTTCTTACAATTTGCAGAAGGTGCCAATAATTTTGTCCATTTTGGGGGTTTTGGGTGGAATGGGTCAGATTTGGCTTTTTTTTTCTCTACACTTTTTTTGTGTCATCGATACAAACCAAAGAAATAAACACGAGAATGATGAAACATTTGTCATGGCAGCGATTTTCTGGGTGAAATTGTGCGTTATCTGATGGAAATGCGGGAGGGCAATATTTTGGGTCACGACTATCTATAGAAGATTGTACTGTGTGGGGGTGATAATCAATCTTCCAACAGATTTGTTTTTTTCTTTGGTGGACTGAAAAGGTCGATGGTTTTGATGTGGTCTCTGTATGATCGGACATCGTTCAGTGTCACTGTCCTGGTGTCACTCTCTGATGGCTGATTGGGCGATACTCACGGGCTTGGTCGGTGGGGTTCATAAACTTCCCACTCTTGGTGGAAGATGTGGATCTCCGCCCCATGTTTTCCGAGTTCTACGTCCTCCTCCCCACTAAGAAAAAAAAGGGTAACCTGAAATATGGAAAGAAAAGACATTAAAGAGGACCCATTAACTAAACTTTTTGTCATTAACGACCCCCCTCCATCCCACCCGCACAGGAGGATCAACAGAGCTGGGGGTTGCTACTGAGCGGGGGATCAGAAGAGCTGGGAGTTACTACTGAGCGGGGGATCACCAGAGCTGGGGGTTACTAATGAGTGGGGGATCAGAAGAGATGGGGGTTACTAATGAGTGGGGGATCAGAAGAGATGGGGGTTACTAATGAGTGGGGGATCAGAAGAGATGGGGGTTACTAATGAGTGGGGGATCAGAAGAGATGGGGGTTACTAATGAACGGGGGATCAGAAGAGATGGGGGTTACTAATGAACGGGGGATCAGAAGAGATGGGGGTTACTAATGAACGGGGGATCAGAAGAGCTGGGGGTTACTACTGAGTGGGGGATCAGAAGAGCTGGGGGTTAAAATTGAGTAGGGGATCAACAGAGTGGAGGGTTAATACTGAGCGAGGGATCAACAGAGCTGGGATTACTACTGAGTGGGGGATCAGCAAAGCTGGGGGTTATTAATGAGCGGGGGGATCAGCAGAGCTGGGGGTTAAAACTGAGAGGGGGATCAACAGAGCTGGGATTACTACTGAGCGGGGGATCAGCAAACCTGGGGGTTATTAATGAGCGGGGGATCAGCAGAGCTGGGGGTTATTAATGAGCGGGGGATCAGCAGAGCTGGGGGTTACTACTGAGCGGGGGGATCTGCTGAACAAAGGTAACAAGGAGCTGGGGATCTGCTGAGTGACGGTACTAATGAGCTGGAGTAATAATGAGCCCTTTAAAACAAATAGAAAACCCAGGCACGTGAAGCGGTAGGGCGCTTGGTGGGCAGAAGTGTAAATCAGCCCTGAGTGCTGCATCGGCTTTCAGTGCTGTATGAAGTGTGTGTGGCCCCAGCTAGCGTGTGTGGCCCCTTCTCCAATTGGCCGAGGCAGTCAGGCGGTCTGATGACATCACGCTCTCCGGCTCATAATGGAGAAGGAAATCCAGATTCATGAACAAATCTCAGTTCGGTCAATTCATGAAACTTTATGGAAAACAATGTCCAACCTGAACAAGTGATGTGATGGGGAAGACAGAGGATAAAGAGAACCTGTCAGAGCTGGAACTACCCCCCGCTGGATGAACAGCCCGAGTCACTGACTGGTGGCCCCCCAAGTGGTTTGGGAACCCCGACACCACAACTGGGAGCCGAGCCCCACATAACACTCCATCCAGTGAGGGGGGCGCTCCGTGTACGTCCTATAATGGAGGTCAGGGGGTGGGTAGAGTGCCTTGAAGTTGAAATCCCTCCCACCTCCCCCATAGTTTACTGTATACAATGTCTGCTGGGTGTTGTAGTCCCCCCCCCCATAGTGTACAGTATACAGTGCCTGCTGGGAGTTGTAGTCCCCCCATAGTGTACAGTATGCAGTGCCTGCTGGGAGTTGTAGTCCCCCAGAGTGTACAGTATACAGTGCCTGCTGGGAGTTGTAGTCCCCCAGAGTGTACAGTATACAGTGCCTGCTGGGAGTTGTAGTCCCCCATAGTGTAAAGTATACAGTGCCTGCTGGGAGTTGTAGTCCCCCCATAGTGTACAGTATGCAGTGCATGCTGGGAGTTGTAGTCCCCCCATAGTGTACAGTATGCAGTGCATGCTGGGAGTTGTAGTCCCCCCAGAGTGTACAATATACAGTGCCTGCTGGGAGTTGTAGTCCCCCCTTAGTGTACAGTATGCAGTTCCTGCTGGGAGTTGTAGTCCCCCATAGTATACAGTCCCTGCTGGGAGTTGTAGTCCCCCCATAGTGTACAGTATACAGTGTAGTCCCCCCTGCTGCAGGAGCTGGGAGTTGTAGTCCCCTCATAGTGTACAGTATGCAGTGCCTGCTGGGAGTTGTAATCCCCCATAGTGTACAGTATGCAGTGCCTGCTGGGAGTTGTAGTCCCCCCATGGTGTACAGTATACAGTCCCTGCTGGGAGTTGTAGTCCCCCATAGTGTACAGTATACAGTGCCTGCTGGGAGTTTGTAGTCCCCCATAGTGTACAGTATGCAGTGCCTGCTGGAGTTGTAGTAGTCCCCCCAGAGTGTACAGTATACAGTGCCTGCTGGGAGTTGTAGTCCCCTTAGTGTACAGTATGCAGTTCCTGCTGGGAGTTGTAGTCCCCCATAGTACAGTACAGTCCCTGCTGGGAGTTGTAGTCCCCCCCATAGTGTACAGTATACAGTGTCTGCTGGGAGTTGTAATCCCCCATAGTGTACAGTATGCAGTGCCTGCTGGGAGTTGTAGTCCCCCCATGGTGTACAGTATACAGTCCCTGCTGGGAGTTGTAGTCCCCCATAGTGTACAGTATACAGTGTCTGCTGGGAGTTGCAGTCCCCCCACCACAGTGTACTGTATAGTGTCTGCTGGGAGTTGTAGTCCTCCAGCGTCCTCTCACCTCTCCCGCTACCTCTGCCTCGTCTTCCCCGCTCTCTCCACCATCAATCCTGCGCTCTACACATCCACTTCCGCCTCCGGGTCACCAAACATCCACTTCCGGCGTTAGAAGGTCTTTCCTTTCCCATGGCGATCCGCCACTAGAGGTAGAGTTCCCTGATGTCGCTGAGCGGCGGCCATCTTGTTGTCAGTCTATGTTGGCCGCACCGAGGACTCCAGAAAAATGGCTCCGCGTGAGCGGACACTGCCGTTCTACTACAGCGCTACACCCCTCCGGCCATCTTTGTACACCTAAGTCAGCAGGTACCATATTGGTGCTCTCATTCCGCTGACTGCAATTACTGGCAGTGTTGAGATTCTTGTATGAAACTCTGAGGTCAGCAGTGCAGCTCCTACAGCCAAGTTATTTATTGATCGATTCAAAGTTATTGATTTGTATGTCTATCGATAATTCGGAACTATAACCCCATCCCCCACCACTCCATAGAGAGGGAGATCTTTATAATAATTATTTTTGTATATAATAATCCTTGTTGGGGGATTTATATTCATATTATTTTAATATCACTTAGATATTAAAATAGTATAATAAAAATATATGGATGATACTAGAAATATTATTCCTCCAATAAAAAGATGAAAAAGGCTTTAATGTATAATTAATTTTTCTTATATTCTCTGAGATCTTTACAATAATTATTTTTTAAGTATTAAATCTTGTCCGGGGATTTTATTTATTTTATTTTAATATCACTTAGACATTAAAATATGATGGATGGATGATACTAGAAAAAGAAATCCTTTAATAAATAGACCAAATAGGCTTTAATTTATATATATTTTTATTTATAATTAATTATTATATTTTATATAATAATTATTTTTTAACGTATTAACCCTTTTTTTTTTTAGAAATTTTACTTTATATTATTAATCGAAGTATATAAATGAATGATACTAGAAAAAGTAATCCTTTATTAAATAAACCAAATAGGCTTTCATTTATATATATATATTTACAATTAATTATTATTATTATGATATTCTATATAATAATTATTTTTTAATGTATGAACCCCTTTTTTTTTTTCTCTGTCTGGCAATCCGATGGATGGACGTGTCTGGGTTTGGCGGTTGCCAGGAGAACGGTACTTGCCTGACTGCGTTGTGCAAGTGCAAGCTGTGCAAGGGGGGATTATGGTGTGGGGTTGTTTTTCAGGGGTTGGGCTTGGCCCCCTAGTTCCAGTGAAGGGAACTCTTAAGGCACTATTTTGGACAATTTCATGCTCCCCACTTTGTGGGAGGAGTTTGGGGATGGCCCCTTCCTGTTCCAACATGACTGCCCACCAGTGCACAAAGCAAGGTCCATAAAGACATGGAGGAGCCAGTTTGGGGTGGAGGAACTTGACTGTCCTGCACAGAGTCCTGACCTCAACCCCATAGAACACCTTTGGGATGAATTAGAGCGGAGACTGCGAGCCAGGCCTCCTCCCCCGACATCAGTGCCTGACCTGACAAATGTGCTTCTGGAAGAATGGTCCAACCTTCCCATAGACACCCTCCTAAACCTTGTGGACGGCCTTCCCAGAAGAGTTGAAGCTGTTATAGCTGCAAAGGGCGGGGCCAACTCAATATTGAACCCTACGGACTAAGACTGGGGGGCCATTAAAGGTCATGTGTGTGGAAAGAGCGGGGCCAACTCAATATTGAACCCTACGGACTAAGACTGGGGGGCCATTAAAGGTCATGTGTGTGGAAAGGGCGGGGCCAACTCAATATTGAACCCTATAGACTAAGACTGGGGGGGCCAATAAAGGTCATGTGTGTGGAAAGGGCTTGGCCAACTCAATATTGAACCCTACGGACTAAGACTGGGGGGCCATTAAAGGTCATGTGTGTGGAAAGGGCGGGGCCAACTCAATATTGAACCCTATGGACTAAGACTGGGGGGCCATTACAGGTCATGTGTGTGGGAAGGGCGGGGCCAACTCAATATTGAACCCTACGGACTACGACTGGGGGGCCATTAAAGGTCATGTGTGTGGAAAGGGCGGGGCCAACTCAATATTGAACCCTAAGGACTAATACTGGGAGGCCATTAAAGGTCATGTGTGTGGAAAGGGCGGGGCCAACTCAATATTGACCCCTATGGACTAAGACTGGGGGGCCATTAAAGGTCATGTGTGTGCAAAGGGCGGGGCCAACTCAATATTGAACCCTAAGGACTAATACTGGGAGGCCATTAAAGGTCATGTGTGTGGAAAGGGCGGGGCCAACTCAATATTGACCCCTATGGACTAAGACTGGGGGGCCATTAAAGGTCATGTGTGTGGAAAGGGCGGGGCCAACTCAATATTGAACCCTACGGACTAAGACTGGGGGGGCCATTAAAGGTCATGTGTGTTGAAAGGGCGGGGCCAACTCAATATTGAACCCTACGGACTAAGACTGGGGGCCATTAAAGGTCATGTGTGTGGAAAGGGCGGGGCCAACT